ACTGGCAGCATTCTAAGAGTCAGCAGCTACTAACGCCCCCACCTATTAGTTAAGGGTGAAGTGAAGGGGCAAGGTACAGTACCTGATGATGGGCAGGTCGAGGCCCCGCTGCAAACTGAGAAAAGGAGGAAAACAAACACAAAAGGAAAGGCACAAAGAGTCAGAAACACCACAACAAAAACCAAAATGTCACACAATATGCAAAAAGGAAAAAAACCCACAAGAAAAATAAAAACACAAAACAGTCAAAGCTTTGCTGCAGGACAGTGACAGACAGGTACTAAGATTCAACAGGTTAACACCACTATCAGATGGTTTGTCATTTTATCAGCTGGGAGAGAAACAGCTACCCTGTTAGGCACCTAGGGCATTCACTGATAGAAGAGTATTTCAAGTAAATAAAATCCCTGAAATAAGGCAAATGAAATTTTGAAAACTGAGTAGTTTTATTAAGACAAACATGAAAATCAAGTATGCTGTATATAACCAGTACTTCTTAAGGATATGAGAAATGTTTTTATATTAGAAGAAATAACCAGGACTTAATTAAAATGTCCAGCTAGAAATAGTGAGTATACCAGGACTAACTATAAATCATAAATTAACGGGGGTATCTTATACATGAATGTGATGGTTCAATAGCCTCCTTTATTTTATGGAATTAAAGAATAAAACTAAACAATTTTATTCATATATATATATATAGCATTTATATATATATATGCAATTAACTAATAAGGTTTAATATCAGACAAGTAAAAGCAAACACCTAGTAAAGATAAGTCTCTAACATGATTAATCCAAATGTTACTTCTATAGGCTTAAAAAGAAAAAAAAAGTAAAAGGAAAATAAGGAAGTCAAATCTCTCAATTGTTATTTATCGACAACAACAGAACACTGTGCTTATGTACCTACTGCTATTTGATGCTGAGAATAAAAACAAAAGGAAACATAACTTCTCAACTAAGAGTACATGTACATGAAAAGAATAATATATATTTTAATGCTTAAAAAAACTTTCTGATTCAGGAAGTTCTAAATACCAAATATCTAAGATCAAATAATTCATCAGAGAAAAATCTGGCTTCTAAGACATTTTAAGTATAAAAGAGAAAAGTATTGTGGCATAAAGCCAAATACCAGCCACTAATACATTAAGTATTGTAATGCTAACCACAATCTTCAAAAGTCAAAAGAAAATATTTAGAAGGTAGTCTGAATACAAACCATACAAGGTTTTCATTAATATATTTAAAGAAGTTAAAATATATGTATCTTAAGTTGTTTTATTATCTAGAATATTCTGTGACTTTATCACTGTAGATGAATAAGATGATTAAGAAACAAACTTCTGTGCTCAGAATTTAAATCATACACAAGAGAAATTTGCAAACAATTCAGAATTACTTTCCCAACTGCTATCATTCCATACTAAAAATTTCAACATCTTTTGGTGGAGTACTTGGCTGCGATGAAAGAGGACTGCTGAAGACAGCTCTGACAAGAATTCACCTTTTAGAAGCGAAAATGTCACCTACTGCTTAAGTAATGAAAAGTACCTTAATGACCTATATGCTTAAGAATATGTTAAGTAATCCAGCCTATCTAAGGACTGTAATGTAGTTCTTCTAAACAATGATAATCAGTAGCTATGGTTCTTTCAGAAAAATCTCTTCAAAGAAATTAAGGTCTTATATTTACTGTTTTCTGAATATAAGAAGAAATTAGATCATACCTCTACTACTGACATCGAAGTTTAAGAATAGGCAATACCACCCATATAATATAAAAGTAGAGGGTGGAAGTGAGATGTTTTTATGACACTTTGGAAGAAAATGGGAGAAAAAGGAAATGTTAAAAAATTAACCTGAGTACAGCAGTACCTGTCTTATCACTGTTCCACAGAAAGATCCCAAGGCTCTAATATAAAAATGGAAACTATATACATTTGGAATGTTCTAGTAAAAGAGCATTTCTTAGCACAAAAGAACTATCTTATAAAATCATACATATATTTTTAATAAAAAGGAAATCACAATTTAAAGTTCAGGAGGTACCCTAGTCTATTTTGCACTAGTCACCATTGGCTACTGAGTTTTTCTTACTGGAGTGACAACATTCTTTATCCTGTGGGTAGCTGTAAGCAACAGAACAAACTGTAGTCACTGCTGGCTCGTGTTAAAGAGAAAAACTGTTTTTTCCCCAAGAGGGGTCTTAGGTGGTGAAGATTGTAGATATAAAGAAAAGCAGCCTTAAATGAACCTGAATCCAATGTTAATGCCACCCACCCACCCACTAACTCACCCTTTATGCACAGTTGAAAACTGAGCAGGGCGAACAGAACATTGATTTATATTTGGCACTAGGCATCACAAGATATAAAAATAATAGTTACAGGTCACTGCAAAAGCCAAACTGTCCTTCTCTCCCAACTAAAGCTTTCAATAGTTTCATTATTTTCAATAATCTACTGAAAAATAAACTACTGTTGAAAAAGTTCCAGCCCAACGAGAAAAACAGAAATATCAGTATTTTTTACTTTAACAAGGTTATCCAGTATATGATTTATTTAAGACACTAAGTATCAAATAGAAATATACAGGCACAAAAAAAAACTTGAAGAAGCAATAACTTGAAGAAGGGGGAGTCATTTGAAGCCAGTTGAATTGCAAAGACATCTGTCCAGGGAAGAGCAGAAAAGCCTACACTGTGCAATTGCCAATGGCCTTTTAATGCAGAAATAGAATGGAGTAAGTGTTAGCTCCTCTACAAAGTCACAGGAAGGTGTACTTCCTTTCTCGGTGCAATGCCTTACCTCTCCTCACCCCTTGGGACAGCAATGGGATGAATGAGAATAGACTATGGCAACTTGGGATGTAAACAGAAAATGCAATCCTGCCAACATTATACCCCAACTTCACCCTCCCAGCACCAACATAAAAGAAATTAAAAAAAGAAAATATTGGACCCAAAACAATAAGCAAGAGTAGACTGGGTTTTGCTAATCTTGCACTTGTTTTGGGGTATGTAATGGAATGTTATACATGTGGATTTTAGTAATGGGTGTGGTAATGGTCACTAGCAGAGCAGATGGCAAAAACTGTATAAAAGATACTATCTGAAGAGTTTATGACCACAAAAAAATGGCTGACAACTACAGACATTTGCCCCCATGATGTTCAATTATCAAATGAAAGGCGGGGAAGAAGCCCTGAAATTTATATTTTAAATTCCAATTTATCTGAATGATATATCCCACTTAACAGTTTAAAATAAAGAAAAATCTAAATCCCAAATCATTCCTGTCTAATTCCCAATAGAAAAGCCCCACCCAATTTGTTACTGTTTTCCCCACTATGCCTGGCAGAAACTGCCATGCTAGGTTAGACTTTCAGAGAGGAAGCAATCAATGCATTTCTGTTCATCAGCCAATAAGTGGATGTGGTCAAAAATAATGAGTGCCAGAGGCACTACTGCCTGCAAGAAGTACAGTTTGTTATATTGCTTACAATGCAGTATTTTATCCAGCCTCTTCCAGCCAAGGACCTGTAAACGGGAGTCTGTTCCAAAACCTTCCTCCTCTTCCAGTTGTCTGTGCAATGTATTGGCACTGTTCTGCTGGGCTGTCAAAAAAACTGGTTTAGAGATGCAGCTCTTCAGTCAGGTTTTGCGCCAATTCTAACCACATAAATTTAATTTTTTCCCCAGTAATTAGAAAAGGGGGCAAGGGTAAGAAGTCTATAGAATTCTTTGCATTAAGAGCTTACCATAATCTTCCATGCTTAATGATTAGAGTCAGGGCCTATCTAAATTGATCTGGTGAGATCACAGGTCCGCTCCAAATAGTAAAGGTCCACATCCCCAAACCACTCTCAGAACAAAACTTGCACCAGACATTGTGTTGACCATTTCAGGAAAAAAAAAAAAAAAAAAAAAAAAGTAAGTAAGAAATAAAAAGAAAGAAAGAAAGAAAGAGACAAGCACACAGGCAACTAGGACCAAAGTCCCACCTCTTTAGAATGGTTCCTCCACCCACTGGGGGGAACCAGGATCTAAGATTGAGTACTGGAGAAGAGGGCAACAGGGGAAAGACAGAAAGAGGGTAAGAAAAGAGATTACATATTTGTGCAGTCTATGCTTTCCTAGTTCTTTGAGCAATTCTTTGGTACATTTCAACAACTTGAAATTCATGCAAAAACCCAAATGAACAGGAGCTAATGCAATGAAGTGTTCCTATACTCCAGACAAAAAAGCAAGGGTGGGGAACAAAAAGAAGATTCCTGTGTTCAGAAGAATACACAGAGCTCAGGTTCAAAGAGGGATACAAAATACAATGAGATGTTATAGAAGCACCTTCTAGCCAAAGCTAATCATGCAGGGTGGGAAACAACAGTCTAAGGAATGGAAAGCTAAAGCCACCGTACATTTTTACACAACAGAAGGATGAACCTTAAGTAAATTTTCAGTCTTTGCAGTACTTGCTGCAATCCGTGTGACGGATGAACAAAGAGGAAGACAGCATTTACATTTACATGATAATTTATTTACTAATTGAATAAATAAATACAACCCTGGTATATATCATGCATGTTCACACCATCAAATGGTAAGAGCTTTTCTAGTAACACTGACTCAGAAGTCTCCCCAAACCACTAGAAGTTGAACCTAAGTAGTGAAATTCAGTTTACTTTTAACAATGATTATACTTCTGAATTTTGAACAGTACAACACATTAATAGCTGAAGCAAAGTAGAATGCAATCAGACTTAAAAGAAATTAAAAGCTCCTTTTTCTTAATTAATGTAAATAGAATTACTCCTATGGCAAGATCTGAAAATGCAATACTAACCACAAATAACGTAAGAAATAGTATTAATAATTCATCTATGAAACAAACCTCTAAAACTCAGTAAAAATATTTGTCAAAAGAACCCAAGCTACTACAAACACACAAAATTAGATGGAAAATATTATCTAGAAGCAGCTTCTGCTTACTTACCGGAGAACGGGTTTGAGGTTGTGAATTCATTGTCTGAGGGGCTTGAGGGTATACCAACGTGGTTGGACCTGCATTCTGTCCAGAGGGATAAGGGGTCTGTCAAAGAACAGTAAGAATGAGAATTTATTTTTGGTTTTTTTGTTGCTGTTTTTTTGCGGAACCAGGGATTGAACTCAAGCCCTTGCGCTTGCCAGGGAAGCGCTTATTGCACTGAGCCATCTCCCTGGCCCGAGAATTTGTTTTCAACAAAAATGGCAAAGCAACTCAAATTCAAAATATTTTTAAAAGTTTACGGAAGTGCTTAATGTTGTGGATTACAGTCCTATTTTATAAAGCTTAAATTTATCATAATGCCCAACAATTTAGTATCAGTGCAGTTTAAATGAAATTACTGTAAACTTCCCAATAAGGAGACAGCAGCAATACAATGTATAGGCACAATTATTTGAAACCATGAGAGCAAAACGAGAATTGTAAATTCATCAATTTCTGAAATGAACAGCCCAACACACACACACAAAACCAACCATGATCCTGAGAACTTGTTATTGTTGCAGTGTGCTTTGAAAGCACTTGAGGAAGATATCTTCGAGCCAGGATTAGCAGCTCACACGGCCAAATGTTCCATTACTACTGTTTCCTTGCCAAACCTTCTAGCTTATTCCTTTGACATGATTCTATAAAAATCAACTTCCAGTAAGAACTTTATAAAAGAGCCTGGATTAAGTGATAACATAACTTATATAATGACTTATTATAGGTTTTCTGAAAATAACAAACTTTTCATTATGAATCCATGTTAAATGCTTGAGACCAATAAATGAATGGGGGTGGGGAAGAAGCCTTCCAACATGTTCTAAATAAAATGCTGCCAAGAGCAAGAAACACAGAATCAGAGGGCCTGGATTCACTTTCTAATAACTACCATTTAATACCATTACTAGTTCAGGTGATTTCTCTTCCCAACAAACACAAAAAAGAACAATAAGCTTAACGTTACAAAGCATGTGCTAAGACTAAATAGATATAGTAAGTTATTTGGCAATAGCCTTTTTAAAATGACTTCAGACCCGCAAGGGCTGTGATTACAGGTGTGCACTCCCATGCCCAGCTTGCAATGGCCTTTATTTACCACTGTCCTAATTATACAATTAAGGACATCAAGATCAGAAAAACTGTCTTATCTAAGATAGATAATTAAATGATCAATACATCTAGAAATTAACATAACTATGTTTGTTTTTAAAAAGTATAGCATCTTGAATCTGTTAAAATATTTAATTTAAATTCAGCTGGGACCATTAACTATAAGTGTGTGAAGAGATTCATCATCGCTTTCAAATAATGGGAAAAAATTGACTTTCATAATAACACACAATACCTGACAATTTTTTTTATCATGGTAACTTAATATTAAGCCATTCGTATGGCAGACACTAAGGTTCAACATCAAGTTGGTTTCCTTTCTTAAACTAAGAACACAAAATCTGACCATAAATTGAAAGAAAATGCGTAAATATCATGTACATTAAATACTTGATAAATGGATCAAATATGAACGAAAAGTTATACAGGTTTCCAAAGATTATTTGCGGTACTTATCACACTCAAACATTAAAATGTGATTTCAGGGGACTGGTGAGATGGCTCAGTGGTCTAAAGCATCTACTTAGAACAAGCTTAGCAAAGCACAGGGACCGTGGTTCAAACCCAAGAACCACATGCCAGCCAGCCCTGCCCCCTGGTGGGCTGAGCGGGCCACACACACACACACACACACACACACAAAATAAATAAATTTAATAAAAAATAAAATGTGATTTCAATTTAAAACAAATGATTGTATAGTTTTTTTTTAAGTCAATTCTGGCCAGTGGGCTGGCCACATAGCTCAGTGGACTAAAGCACCTGCTTAGGCAGACACAGGGACCGGAGTTCGATCCTTGGCATACTGTGCCAGCCCTGCCACCGGGGCACACTGAGACTGGGTGTGGTGGTGTGCACCTGTAATCCCAGTGCTTGAGAGGCTGAAAGCAGGAGGATCACTGGGAGTCCAATTTGTGTAGTGAGACCCTGTACTATCTATCTATCTATCTATCTATCTATCTATCTATTCTGGCCAGATTTAGATCAGGAAAATGTTTCTTCAAATTATTTTACAGTATCTGAATATAGTTTTAAAATATAGTACCAATTTTAATCTTCATTAAAAGAAAATCATAAAATTTTGGAAAATTATTTCTTAGTGATAAGGATCCCTGATGGTATACTATCTTGACACTTTCTTCTAATTGATATGTAAACCATGAACTTCTAGCTGTCAAGATACTATCATATTAAAATATGCTACTCATGAAAACAGAAATAGTACTTCTATACTTTTTTTTTCCATAATTTTATTGAGAAACAAATAGCAATGAGAAAGCTTCAAACCAAATTGGTAGGACAGTTTCAATAATTAACACATTGAGTACATTCTTCCTAGTGGTTAATTGCTGTACAAGATGCAGACTTGATATCCTATTTACAGAGACTATTAGAACAAATCCCTCTATTCATTTTTTTTTTATTTGAGAGAGAGAGAGAGAGAGAGAGAGAGAGAGAGAGAGAGAGAGGTGTGTGTGTGTGTGTGTGTGTGTGGCCAGCTCAGCCCACCAGGGGGCGGGGC